ATGAACGAACTAGCCATTTAATTTGTTCTGAAATACGACGTTCAAATACTATTTAAGACCGGAAGTTTCTATCTTGCAAGAACGCTTCCAATATGTTGAGACTATCTAAAGGGCCTACTGGCAGAAAACAGGCCACAGAAGTAGCCTGTTCGGATGTTTGTATGACAAAACAATTCACTTATACGTCGTCAAGTCGGTATGATCTTTTCTAGTATCCATAGTCAAATGGACAGCTGCCTTCCTGATTTTGATACAAATGATGTATTTGATGGTCTTAAATCCTTGAGTCCTTGCCAAAGCCCAGACTTTGGTGGTTTTTCGAGCACTACGTTACAAAAATGAGCAGATATTCTGTATCATCCCCTTGCAGATACCTCCAGTGCGTCGTTTTCCAAAAAACACAACGTACACCGCTTGGAAAGACATAAAGTAGTGCCTGTGCCTAAGTCACCTTCTGGATCAGATACTCAGTTTCAACTCGCCGCTATAACTTCTTTTTGGAGACGATAAAGAAATTGCATCTCCTTTCGCCTCAACCTTTATTGGAGGCTTTCAGAGGTCCAAAACAATTCGTTCACAAACAAACAAAAACTACTTAAGATGCAGTCACTGTCTTCTATCATAATACTGCTTCTACGCTGCAATAGCAATAATATATTTCTAATAATGAATTGTACCGACGCACGTCATTTTTACAGGCAATATCTAAATGTCATCTCCTTACTGAGGGTGGAAACGTCTAGAAAGAAACAAATCGTCGTGGCATGCAAAGTCTTCTGGAATAGACAACTGTTTACATATTGCTTGAGACAAATGTTGGATAAGAACGATATCGTTAGACAAAAGCGGTTGAAAATTAATGAAGGTGTAACCAAACAGTATGAGAAGCGGTAGTTAGTCATGAAATCCATAAGGGTATATTGCACATCTAATGTTGAGAGCAAATGGATCCGGAGATATATCTGTATTCAATAAGTCTGTACCGCCTGCAGATGGCAAACGAAACAGGGACGGACGGCGGGAGCGAATGTGGGTCTGGTATTGTATGGTGTCATGCAAAGTGTAGCAATTGTTTAGGTCTATGATGCTGTGAACAGGATCATTTGAATAAAGCCAGGAACGTATTTCTATCCAGCTGCTTTTGTCTTATCACGGTGGAGGATATAAGAGGTTTCACCATCAAACCAGTGGATAAGACTTCAAGGTCGGTGCGTCACATGGGTCACTCACGGTTAGCAGCGTTTTCAGGTGAGTGGTCGCAAAGAACGAGAGAACTTGCATGTTTGGACGCAATTGGCACTTTATACCGACATTTCCAGTTGCTCTGCCGATTGTGCCTGTGTATTTAAGAGAGGTCGTAGTCCGGGACGATTTGTCTAGCTCCTAGTGATTTTGCATCTGTAGGCGGTAAAAGATGATAGTTCTCGCCCGTTGAATAGGAGTTCAAAGCGTACCTCGATGCTGAGTGTTTTGGTACGATCCGCCATCATAATCTGCATATCGGGTGACAAAGAGGGAAAGGGGCGTGCGAGTTGAAGTTAGATGTCTTAGAATTTGGGAAGTAATATTGAAGACCAAAGTATCCGAAGAGGACACTAGGAATGAGGGGCCATATAGTCTGATCATCTACCCTTAAAGTTTTATGTGGTACGTTTCTCACGTTCTAGTTCAATCTGAATTACGAATCGTTCAAGATGGTGACTCTGTTTTGCATTTGAGAACCAGTAAGAACCTTGATATGCACATAAAGAGTTAGAGGAAGGTAGTTACAACAATCCCAAGGGAAGGGAGGGTGAAGGGCACATATTGGGTTTAGTGACCTCAGATGAGGGTGATCTCCATAAGTCTCTACCATCAGATCTGCCATCTCATGTTGAATAACTGTACGTTCGCTTTGCCTTCTTGGGTTGTTCATCGGCCTTTGACTCTTTCTCCAAAGGGCTCTTGTTAAACAAGCTTGCCACGGTTCGTACTGAGCCACTGGTTACAAAGTAGGTGTATTCCTACTCTTCGGAAATTAAACGGCGTAGTGCGTACAAAGAAAGACGCTCCACTTCATTGCTCGCTGGCGCTGGTGTGCCGCAGTTTCTGTTTTCGTTAATTTGCAGGATTTATTTTGTCATGTCGAAACTAATTTCTTCAAGTATGCTAGAGGCCTGACGGTTCTGCCCTGGCTGTCTCACTTGGAATGCTCTTAACTAAACAGACTCTCGCCCGTGATTGACCACTGGTCTATCCCAAGCGGTCTTAAGCTAAACTATTCTCGCCGCTAGACTGTTAATTTTAGCCTCAGGCGTAAAGAAGATTCGTGTGAGCTGCTTAAGTCCCATGAAGCCTGTTCCACCGATCGTATTTCTGCGGGAAGTGAATCAAGTGTCAAACATCTTCGATTGGGATTTATTTCTGATCTTTGGTGGTCGTCCCACATCTTGTTGACCTCCGAAAATTCTGTCTTTTAAAGTCTTACACAAATAAACTGAGGTTCCGTGATATAACTCAACTTCTACCCTTAAACTTCGATTGTCCCTGCATCTGATCTATTTTTTCTGTTGCTCCCCACCTATCTTTCCTGGCTTACCAAAGGCGTGCTAAGCTATAGCGTGTAAGGCTTTGAACGACATCAAGAGGGTAAGTCCTGAGTTCCTAGCCCGACCGACTGACAGTGTGGTTGACAGCGGTTAAAATTCTAGCAAGTGACTAGCTGCAGTCATTTTAACCGACACACAGAATCCACTCAGTTTGCAGATCCCTCCTCGCACAGCCCGCTGGGGGACAAGAAGAAACTGTGTGAGACTGGCCTCGTATCGCTGAGTACAAGAGTCGGACCGCATCTTTCCTGGCATTTACATTATGTGATGAAAAAGTCCCGGAGAGGGACCAGTCCATCAACAGTAAATGATCTGTTTCCAATTACTTAATTAAAGATGTAAAATTTTCCCGTTACAAATGTTCTGCACATTGCCTGACGCCTCATAATGACACTGTTCGACATGTAAAGGGGAGCGTAGATACATATTTTTGTTGCAGAGTATCACGCTGAGAATTCGAAGTTGTACCAAAAGCCGTTTGGAATGAGATCATTGTTATCGTTAAGTTTGGAGCAGATGTCTAGTCAGTCTCATGTCCTTCTTTATGGCCAGGTGGGAAAGTTGCGCACTACGAAGAGGGTAGGGTACTTTTCGCCAGTCCGGCACTCATTCAGGTTCAGTGCTGATCCGTTGTTATTCCCCACCATGCAAGCAATCTGAGATCAGTTTGTGGTGCACTTTGTTTAGCGCACTATATCTCTCAATAACGACGTTGTCATTGTAAAGTAGAATCAGAGTGCTGTGACTCACTGATAGGGTATGTACAAAGGGGAGGAACAGTAGAGACCTAGAACGGCTGTTTTTGACACACGAAACGATGTTTTCCTCCAAACTGGGCAAGTCCTGTTAACTTGTATGGAGAACCCTCTACCGCCCAAGTGGTCGTTCAGCCAGAATAGCGCCTAATCACTGATGGACAACCTTGCCATTTCGCACATGGAAACGGTATGTGAGACAGTGTCAAAGGCTTTGGCGAAACCCGAGAAGGACACACGAACAAGAACTTGGAAGTCCCAGCACGCCGTATAGTTATCACCGAGTAACAGAAGGTTCGGGGCGCAGGGTCCACCATTTATAAAGCTATGCTGAGCATCACTCAGTTCTCTTATTTTGTCTGAATACTCTCTGATATGTTCGTCCACTGGGCTCTCCAGTACATTCGAAAGGAGTGGCAGAAGTGGTAGAAGTTGACAGCATTTCGGGCCCTGCCCATCTCCTTCTTTGAAGATGGAAAAGAGAATGGTTTGGTCCCATTCTTGGGCTTTGAATCATCATACGGAGGATCGAATATGACAGCCGCGCACTGTTTCTACACACGCCGCCGAATGTCGTCGCGTCCCGGTGGTCTACCTGTTCGTAGTTCAGACGGTTTCTCAAAGACCACAGTGGGGGTTACCTTCATTCCACACCAATTTTCTACGATAGGTGGCACCGAAATTGTCTCAGGCGGTTGACGGTTCGGGTCGGGTGGCGGAACTTTTAGCTGCCCGTCGAAGGTGGTGTTAAAGATTTCGGCAGTCTCCAGTCCACAGAGGTTATGTTAACTCGGGTCTTTCATAGCGCAAGCTCTCTGGCTTTTCTCTTCACCATGAATCGATGATTCTAGCAGCGTCCTTGTTAAAGAGTGAGCCATAAGTTTCCCTCAAGCCTAAGCAACGCCAAACGTCGCTATCAGGCCTTCAGAAGCTACATCGGATGATCGGCTCAACGTACGGCGTCATGGTCCACTAGATACCTTTGGCCCTTCTGTAAAACCAAGTAAATGTCCTCAAGAAGCTAAAACATACACACCAGCTGGCCTGGAGTTCATTGAACGTTGAATTTTATCCCTGAATCCCCCAATATTGACGGATTCCCCCGACTACATTGTTTAGAGAAAGCTGTTCCTTCAGTCATCCAGACAGAACGTCGCGCTGCCTTATGCGATGGTAACTGCAATGATTAATCTGCAGATAGATGCATTGTTCATGAAATTATCACAGTCGTAACTTCAATAAATCCGTCCAATTACCAGGAATTGTCGACTTTTCGTTCTCGTAACTGTGACGACGCATTTACTGTTGGTTCACGTGGAGCATCCTCCCCGGCTTAACATACGCATTCACAGGTCAAGAGTCACGTCAGAGATGGTGCGCGAAGAAAGAAATGATCGGTTTTGGATGGTGAGCAACCTCGTAACTTGCCCAGTTTCCTCCTCGATACCTCAAATTGTCCTAATGAAACTTCACCTGGGTGGTATACCGACGTTGATCCCGAGCGCTCATATAGATTACAAGATCAAGTCACAAGGGTTGAACCGAGAAGCAACAGTTGGAGAAGGTCAAGGGGGAATAACCCCAGTAACCAGATGCTTTCAGCATCTAAGATGCAAAGTGAGACCTCAAGCACTCCAATCAGTTGTCTTAGTAAACCATGAATCCAGCAGGTATTCTATTACATGTAAGTTTCACCGGTTAAAAAGAAGACAACAAACAAATGGTTTAATGGAAGGCTTGCCTGTAACACACCAGGCACTAACATACCATTGACGAAATGTTGGCGCCGCATCATTGCCACATATCTTAATGACACAGTTCACGTTATACAACCGTTACAGCATCAGAAAGGGCGTCTTCCGTGGTTCATGTTAAGAGTGCATCTGCCGCTATGGAATTTGCAACATACTTAATGCAATGGAGTTATGAAAAGACAACCCTGCAAATACCTTTGCAAGCGAACCAGTAGTGAAGCAAATTATAGGCGCTGCTCGGTAAGAACTTCAGTGATAAACTACTACCTTGGCCACCAGGAGTGACTGGGCGGGAACGCTGGCGGTATGGGAAAAAATTAGCGTATTATGCTACATAGTTCAACGCGTCTAGTAGTTGTCCCTGCTAACACCCACTGCACAAATAACAACCATTTGTAGATCAGGTGGCAAGCGAAATCTCATGATCTACTAGGAAAGCCTGCAAACCAGTGAAGAAAGTTTCACGGTGATTGTGTGCAATAAGAGCAAGTTACTGGAGGAGGATATCAAAGCACCTTACGAAATGTATCTGAGTCCTAGAGATAAAATGAGGAAAAACGGCATGCTTTCGAGTGTTCACACGTCCAGAGACCTGTCATCAGGACGACAGGAACGGTTCAGTAATCTCTTCCAACGACTACTAAAGTTGGTAACCCGTTGTGTATCGACATCAGTGTCAAGAGAACAAAAGGAGAATTTGGGGAACTCAGGACCTCCCATGACCAGTAGCACTGCAAAATGGCACACGCTGAGAGAACTTAGCCTTGCGAGGAACCCAAGGAAAACAGGTATACGTAGGTATGTAGATGATGATCACGCAGAAAAAATAGTTTCCGTACACATTTCAGTGGGCGAAATTCATTGCGTAATTCAATTTCCGTTCTGTCTAGCTTAAGTTACGTTCTGTTTAGCCTAATTTACATCTTGCTGATAGGTATACTGGTGGTACTTGGCGAAAGAAAGTCAGAGAATACAAGTGAAATCTGGGAAGACTTCTTCGTCCACATGAATGTTTGTCAGGGTTGAGGCACAGACGTAATACAAGCAGTGGAAACAAGTACATGTTTTCATCCGCTTCAGTGCACATATACTGTCCAGCTCAACATCGCACGCAGTGTTGGAGAGCGGTAAACGATGAGTAATAATTCTCACGAGAACCTGGAATTATTTTTGATCAACAAACACGTACACTTGAACCTATTGAAGATAGGCTAGCTCAGTGTGAGACAACCTATTGCAAGCATAAGATTCATTTTTCTTGGCAAAGTATTGAACCCATTCCATTAGCAGGCAAACTCAGCAGGGGCTCAAAGACCTAACCGCCTTATATCTTCCCCTTAATCAGCGTTAGGGCTTCTGGCCGTTGCCCAGAGTAACTCACAAAGGTCAGCACAGAAGCTTGAGCAAAGGTCCATACGCTCAAGATACTTCCCAGCAGAATGAAGAAAGTAAGTCCGTAAAAAACAGCGGCATCGGAGTGGTGGAAGGTACACGGGGGGAGGATCTAATGAACATGGTCAGTGAACAATAATATTCAATTTATGCTAAATATATTTGTAGTGGATATCATTACTCAACGATGTTGTTTGATCTTGGCGGTGTTTCGAGAAAAACCGCGTATGGTCACACCAGTTGTCAAAATCATTTGTTCACACATTTGCAAGTAGACGCTATGCATGTGGTGCCCCCATCTTATGCTTTTTCAGTCTTCTGTTCACCACAAAATTCCATTTTCTTGACAATTGTGCCGAGTCTCTGTTGCGACAGCTAGGCGTGAAATGCGTTGTTCACATTGAACTCCAAACTGTAAGCGTTGTCCCAGTTTTACATTTTTCGTCCCATGCATCAGGTGGTATCAGCGAAATATTTTCATAATTTTCCTATCTTCGCTTCCTGGTGATTCGTAGTTAATGTTCATTTGGTTTCTCTCTAAGTGGCCCCCACGTCTGACCCATATAGTTAGTCGGACACCCACCACAGGATGCTTTGTGAATGAGATTACTTATTCCAAGTCCTTTGTCGAATTTTTCACATGACTTAGTTTATATTGATTGGAGTTCACTGGCTCAAATGCGGTTCAGTTGCTTAAGCTTCCAGGATTTTTCTCGCTGCAGTTCATGAGTTTCTTAAGCAGTGTTTTTCGTTTAGTTATGGCACTGCTAACGTGGTGATTCTGCAACGAGAAATCCATGGTCAAAAAAGTAGAAAACAACTTATTTATCATTTCAGCGGCTACAGTGGTCAAATGTAACGGACATCCTAATATTTTGTCAGTTAATAAGATAGTCCGTGGATGAAAGATATGCCGAAACTGTCGAGAGTCAAACCGGCAATTTGAAACTCAGGTGAGCTTTCCTCAGTGGCTAATCAATTCAGAGTGATGCATCTACGCAAGCAAGTGACACTGTCAGTGCACCGTTACATACGATTAAGTAGGGAGTAACAGCAAATTGACCCTTAAATTCGACAGATACGATGCGCATGTCAGACATGCTCATACTTGTCCCGAAGGGTCTCAGAAGTCTCAGCACACTGTTGACTTTTCCACGGAGCGGGGTGGTACCGTCCAGGTACTTCGGATTAACTTGATGTCCTCCTGGGAATGAACCAACTACCTTGTGGTAGGAGTTATCTATAGTTATGTCCGTAGGCGACTATCTCTGATGCACATCAACGCTTAGAAACTTTAATAATGCATTTAAACGGCTTTGGGCCTTAAGTGCCTACGGACCAACGGAGGCCAACCTAGGTTAATGGAAAACCGTGTGGTTGACACAAGAAGGTGTACCACGCCGACTGAAACTGAAGGTATCCTTATCCGTTTCTGCGTCACCCAATCCTGGTATCTACAATATGAGTAGTAGCTTCCTCATATTATTGCCAGCAATGTGCATTTACGATTAGTAATTCTCCTTCCTACCCCCCTCTCTACTTGACACGTGACTCCCGCTACCGACTGAATGGTAACTTATTACATCCTTCAGGGGCATACAAAGACAGGTATTGCCCAAAGTTATTTGTTACTATCAGCTGAAGCGCCCTCCCCCACACAAGCCGGCCTAAAATTTGAAAATGATAGACACGAATTGTGCAATCACTTCCTCCGCAGCTATAAACTGGAAAGACTTTAGAAAAGACCTAGGAACTAGACGCGGGAGATCAGAAACTATCAGTTTCTTACGCTCGCACTATCAATACTGGATATTAGATTGGAAGGTATAACGGAACAAAATACACAAATCCTCACAACTCAGAAACGAACGTTAAAATACTAAAAGTTTCCTCTACCCCCACTATTGCAGAGGAATGCTGGGAGCGGGCATGAATGAATCGTTCAGTTTGTGCAATCTGGCAAAACAGTTTTTCCGCGCGCTCCTTGAATAGTGTCATGTTTTCGCTCGTCTCCATCCATCTCGACAAAATCCACATTTACGACTATCCAGTAGGAGCTTTCAACTCCTCATTCAATGTTTGCGCAACAATCTTGCAGCAGAAAATATCCCTGCTTACTTCATCACCACTATTACGCTCTAAACGGACAACTGTGTACTCAGATTGCCGTATCTGCAGCAAAATATATCTCACTAACTTCTGCGTCCAGGATTTGGTAGTTTTTGACTTTCGACAGAGTCGCAGGAACAGACATTTGAAGGTAAGGTCGAAAGCCTTCTGTTTACTTGCTGTGCATTTTCATCGCTCTACTCCTTTTATCTTCATCCGTTTATTAATATTAATATGCCTAGTAAAAGTGTGCCGACCCCGATAAAGGCAAGCAGTAGAAATGCTTTGAGTACAACCTCGCCACAGTTACTGACCACCTCATTCTCAGTAGTTACTAGGGCTGGAGCTACGAAATGCCGAAACGTGGAAAAGAAAGCAGCTGAGGGTACGAATGCATCATCTAAGTCCATCTCACCCTGTCGGTCACAATCACGGCCTGCAACACTTGAAGTTAGCCATGGAACCAGTCCTCCCGGTACTATAACGTCACTATACCCAGTCAAGTAAACCCAGAACCCCATGCTGCTCCCTGCGCCCATCCTGATCCCCCAGTGAGAATCACTAGGCGGAAGAGTCAAAGAGTAGGGCACAAACGTTTGGAGAAACCACATGGACACGATGACAACTTCCACACATGTGCTCTCACTGTTACTAAACGTGCAACCAAAAGATTGCAACAGCTGCAACAGATGGGTGCACTACCGATGTGACAAAGAATTGCCACATCAGTACTATAGCTTTATGATGCGTCACCCGTGCACGTGGTTTTGATGCATTTGCCCACAGTGCTGTCTGAGACCGTACCTAGCTTCAGGCTTACTTAGAATAACCGATAAATCACTAGTAATCAAAAAGCAGGCATCCGGCCAAACCACTACCACAGAGGATACTCACTCTCCAGATGATTTTGGCAATGGCCTACTGAAGGTTAAAAACTTGAAAGGTTCTAAGCCGACCAAAGGCTGCCTACACCAACGGCAACTGCATCCACCTCAAGCCTTGAAGCCAAACCAGAAACAGTAACCAGCGGACAACGCAGTCCAAGGAAAACAAACCAACACTTAACTTCCTGTTCTGTAAACCAGAGCTGTAGCAGGCGAATGGCTGGATCTACTGCATCGGAATCGGCCAAAGACCTGGAACCGTTCCGCAAGACCAAGAAGTGAGCGGGAAGAAACCAACTGGTTTACAAAAGCTCGTTAAGAAGATATTGGATAGTGAATATTAGGACTTGAAGGTCATTCTTTGACCTAACCGCCAAGTTAGTTTGTCAGGGTTGGTTTCCTATTTTTTGCCTTGGTCTAACGAGTTAAGATTTATTTTGAAAGAATAATGTTTTGGATAAGTCAGGAAAAGAAACTGGATTTTCAAGGTTTAGATTTTCGACGTTTTTCACTGTAATAGTAGATGCCTCCATATGGCCGAAAGTATCTGTGTCCACAAACACAGATTTGTTGTTTGAGAACAGAAAGCTGTCATCTTGTAATAATCCTCTTCCATTACATCTCTGTGATTATTCAATCCTCTTCCGAGCGAGCCAATTGATGGTGTAGACACCACTTCTTCTAGGAGTCTGTTCCAGATTTGATTATTCGAATGTCGAGTAATTACTCGACACAAGAACCAGTAATCTGGTTTTATATTCCCCTGCTATGTCCTCTGCTGTTTTCTGATGCAGTGGGAAAGAAAAGAAGATAGTTCAGGTTCAAATCCACCTCGAAGCCTGTAAAGCTTGATTAGATCTCCCCTTTCTGCGATAGGATAAAAAGAAAGGTCCAACTCCAAAAGTCGATCTTCGTAGGTCAGGCCGGGCATCGCAAGGGTCATACGAGTGGCTGCCCTGTGGGCTTTCTCCAGAGTATCTGGGTCACCTTTCAGGCAAAGGTTTACAGCCTGTGTGCAGTTTTAGTTTAGACCTGACTAAGGTTGTATATAAAATGGTGAACGTATCACCACTTATTTTCGTAAGCCTTCTGCGTAGTGCCAAAAGTTTCCTAAAACTCAGCTGTGACCGATCGACACTGTGCCGGGGTTTTAATATCATAACTGACCTTGACTTCTAGATCATTGTGGGTAGGGAGTCCCACCAACGTCGTAGGTGGTGCCATCTGTGTGCTCCATGATCATGGTTACATATTTACCTGCGTTGATAGGCGTCAGCCACTTCTCTGACCAGGTAAACAAGCCGTTTAGGTCTGTCGGAAGTGCACGTATATCCTCATCATCCTTAATTTCCCACCAGATTCTTCTGTCATAAGTGTATGGAACCATAGGGGATTTCATGATATTTGGCGGCTCATTTATGTATAGGAGAAATAGCAGGGGACCCAGGAGTGCACTTCACTCTCTACTGACTTCCAGGAGGTGAGTTGAGAATCGATCCTTACTCTGTCTCCTACCAATAAGGAACTCTGATCCATCCAAGTAGATTGCCAGTGATTCCGAAACTTTCCAGTTTCCCGAGTAACGTGGAGTGAGGCGCCTTGTCAAACGCCTTATCAAAGTCTATAAAAATGACACCTTCAGGTATACTGTCGTCCTTAGACCTAAAACAACTTTCTGTAACTGAAATTTTCATCAAGCAGGAGAAATTTCTCCGAATGCCCTGTTTCGAACTAGACAATTGAGTGTCGTTCTCTAGGTGGATCGTAATAGCTTTCTTGATCACTTTTTCTAGGACGTTAACTACAGTACTAGCAAAGCTTATCAGTCTGTACTTTGATGGGTGCTGATTAGAACTTGCCTGGTAAATAGGTGTGGCTATGTCATCCTTCCAATCATGGGGGAGTGTGTCTTCACTGAGAGACTCCAAATATCATGTCCAGTGGGCCGGCTAAATGGAGTGCTAGCCCTAAGCAGCCTTGGAGGCAGTTCATCCGGTCCTATTGATTTTATACTTTGAGAGCACCTAATTCCCCAAATACGTCATTGCGATCGATATCTACAGAGTTTATTCTGTTGGATGTCAGTGCTCCTACTGTTGAAATAGTGTCTACGAAAGGTTCCCGTGTGAAGACCTCGGGAAAATATCTGTCCATAGTTTCTGCTTTTTCCTTATCGCGTCTAATCAAATGGTTTATGTCCCTTTAATTAGGGTGGGTATACCATGATACCTCGCCTGGTTAACTAGTTTACTAGTTACTAGCCGGTCCTAAGCCCGGGTAAAGAGGGAAGGTTGGGCATAGGGCTAGCAACCCTACCCCGTAAAACAAATCTAACCGCTAAAGAAACTTCAAAGCACAAACAAAATATAAAAAATGAAAACAAACTTATTCCCCGCTGGAATCGGAGAGGCGAAATGACGCCAGTTGGTGAAAGCCTTCGGGAAGCCAATTGGCCGATGTGTCTTCTCTCGATGAAAGCGAAAGTAAACGTGGGGACATGGAATGTCCGCACCATGTTTGAACCCAGTAAGGCAGCCCAGATTGCAAAGGAGATGAGAAGGTATAACATCGAAGTGCTTGGGATTTGCGAAAGCAGATGGAATGGGAGTGGACTCTCCAAACTGTCAACTGGAGAATCAATAATCTACTCCGGTCACCCAGACGCCAACCACGAGCACACTGAGGGAGTGGCTATCATGATGTCCTCAAGAGCATCGAAGGCTCTCATGCAGTGGGAACCAATCTCCTCCAGGATCATGACAGCAAGATTCAACTCAAAAGGAAGAAAGGTCACAATCATACAATGTTATGCACCTACAAATAATGCAGAGCAAGAGAAAAAGGAGGAATTCTACAGACAACTTCAGTCAACACTGGACAAGACGTCAGTTGGCGATATCAAAATTCTAATGGGCGACATGAATGCCAAACTGGGAGGGGACAACACGGGAAGAGAACTAACCATGGGTCGAGAGGCGCTAGGTGAAATGAATGAGAATGGAGAATTGTTTGCAGAATTCTGTGCATTCAACGATTTGGTGATTGGAGGCAGTGTGTTCAGGCACAAGGATATCCACAAAGCGACATGGACTTCACCAGATGGACACACTAAAAATCAAATCGACTTTATCTCAATCTCAAGAAAATGGAGACGCAGTCTACTTAACACAAGGTCAAGAAGAGGAGCAGATGTAGGTTCAGACCACTATCTAGTGCAAGGAACCTTCCAAATCAAGTTAAAAGCCTTCAAGGAAGCTGGTGATAGACCTCAATTCAAGTACAACACTCGGAAACTGAAGGATGAAACTACAAAGGAGATCTTCAAAGCAGCCATCAAGACAAAATGGGAGACGTCGAGGGACATCCCTGAAGAAACCTGTGTAGAAGAACACTGGAAGTCTTTGAAAGCTATGTGGAAAGAAACCTGCACAACAGTATTAGGAAGGAAGAAGAAAGAAGACAAGGAATGGATCTCGACGGATACCTGGAAGCTGATAGAGGAGAGGAGGATGGTGAAGCAGAAGATAAACCAGTGCAAGGATGCTCAACGACAAGAGGAACTGAGCACAATGTATAAAACACTGGATAAAGAAGTGAAGAAGAGTGCACGCAAAGACAAAAGACACTTCTACGAACACTGGCAAGTGAAGCAGAACAGGCTGCAGGTAAGAGAGACCTGACGACATTGTATCAAATAACCAGGTTGCTATCAGGGAAGAGACCAACACAGATGAAACCAATAAAAGATGAAGAAGGAAATTTAATTACAAAAGAAGAGAAACAGAGGAAACGATGGGCCGACCACTTCAAGAAGCTCTTGAATCGACCACCACCTGCACTTCGTCCAGAAATACCACCTGCAGCCGCTGAATTACAAGTGAACATAAATCCCCCAACGAAAATGGAAGTCCTGAACGCCATAAAGCTACTGAAATGCGGGAAAGCAGCAGGACCAGATGGAATACCGCCAGAAGCACTGAGAACAGATGCAGAGACAACAGCGGACATGCTCACACCACTATTGCAGAAGGTGTGGAGGGAAGAGAAGGTACCTGACGATTGGAAGAAGGGTTACCTTGTCAAACTGCCGAAGAAGGGAGACCTCAGTGCTTGCAAGAACTGGCGCGGAATCACTCTCCTATCCACCCCAAGTAAAATATTAAGCCGCATCATCCTGGAGAGGCTTAAAGACGCACTGGATTCAAAACTGCGACCGGAACAGGCAGGCTTCAGGAAGTACAAATCATGTGCTGACCAAATTGCAACGCTTCGTATCATCATAGAACAGAGCGTAGAATGGCAATCAGCTCTATACCTCAACTTCATCGACTTTGAGAAGGCCTTTGACAGCGTCGACCGAGAAGTAATTTGGAAACTGCTTCAATACTACGGAGTACCGCAAACCTTTATCCGCCTCATTCAACAACTATATGAAGATGCCACATGCCAAGTAATCCACAATGGGAAGCTCAGTGATGCCTTTGAAGTGAAGACAGGAGTGAAACAAGGTTGCCTACTATCCCCCATGATATTCCTTATTGTGGTGGACTGGATCATGCAGCAAACAGTAGGCAGCGAGAAGAGGGGGATACACTGGACGACGGAAAAGAACCTAGAAGACTTGGATTTCGCCGATGACTTATGCCTAATGTCACATAAACTTGAAGATCTGCAGGCAAAAACTAACAAGTTGACAGAAGAGGCAGCTAAGACGGGACTTCAGGTGAATATAGAGAAGACAGAAGTGATGAAGATACCGCACCACCACCATCAACAACAACAACAAACTCCAATCACCGTCAACGGGAGAAACTTGAAGGAAGTAACCTCCTTCACTTATCTAGGAAGCACTGTTTCAACTACAGGCGGGACGGACGAGGACGTCAAAGTCAGAATCGGAAAAGCAAGACAGGCGTTCATTAGCCTGAAACCAGTGTGGAGATCTTCTGCACTCAGCATGTGGAACAAGATACGGATTTTCAACACCAACGTCAAGTCAGTGCTCTTGTATGGCTCAGAGACTTGGCGCGTCACGAAAGGCATTTCCAATAAACTACAGACATTCATCAACAACTGCTTACGCTCGCTGCTGAAGATCAGATGGCCAGAAAAAATAAGCAACAAGGAACTCTGGGAACGAACCAACCAAGAACCTATCACGCAACAAATATGCAGGAAGAAGTGGAGATGGATTGGCCATGCACTGAGAAGGCCGACTGAGGACATCACGCGTCAGGCCCTCGAGTGGAATCCCCATGGGAAGCGACGAGTTGGACGTCCGAGGGTGACATGGAGGAGGTCATGCGAGGAGGAAATGAGAGGCTGTGGGCTGTCGTGGAACCAGGTTCAAAAGATCTCAGAGAACAGAGGTCACTGGAGGCGTGCTACTGAAGCCCTATGTTCCACTAGGAACCCAAGGGACTAATAATAATAATAATAATAATACCATGATGCATCTTATTCCTATAATCCGTATGGGACAATAACATCGAGTGTTGCAGTGCAGCTTCGGCAAGACGTTTCAAAGCATATTCGAGTCTGGGGGATAGCAGCAATACATCTGTTTCGGGCTTCTTTGTAATTCTTCATCACCCTGAGAGTACCGAGGTGGGTGGCAAGACTCCAACACTTTTTTTTCAGTCGTAGCAAAATTTGGGTTTCGTAGTTTATCCACGTAGGGCAATATTTCCATCCCTTCAGAACGGTCCACAGAATGAACGTTTGAGTCACTCTTGCATATAACTTCGAGATAAACAATGTGGTAATAAGGGAAACTAATGAAAAAGAATATTGTGATATGACCCTAATTGAAACATATGATTCTTATAATTAGGGCAAAGAGAAACAAAACGGATTCATTTTATATCTCTCAAAATGGTCTTGAAATAAACAGAGAAACAATAAAGTAACTGAGCCTTAACTTATTAATATGCTAGTGTATCATCGGATGATCATATTTTAGTGGGGTTTGATTACGGCCTATGCATCTGCCTAAAGTCTGGCAATACCTACAAATACAGTAGTTGTACATGTCAGTTGACCTTATCACCTGCTTCATTATTTCCCCCTACAAGCCAGCCTAGAATTTGAAAATGATAAACATCAAGTGTACAATCACTTCCTCCACACCTATAAGCAGATAAACTGAAAAGACTTTAGGGTACAACCGAACAAAATGAACCAATCCTCACCACAAGTTTCCTCTACCTCCACTTTTAATTTTGGATAATCAACCGTAATCTTGTCTTTTTCGCACTGATTAGCGTTTCAGCTCTGCGAGTGTCTAGTTCGGCCAGTGGCAGTGATATAAACTCTTCCCTTACTTAATCCTCTAATGCTTACAGTGTAATATATCGCTTTTCCGATTATTTTCACTATCTAAATTTAACTTTCCATATGTGTTTTGTTATCAGTGCTCGAACTCTAGGTAAACCACTGATCAGTTACACGCATACTAATGGGTGTGCCTGTGTCGTGATTTGTCTTAGGGTTGTGCAGATTCTCCTAACACCATAGTCTAGTCAACAAAACCTAGCTAAAGTAGTCGACATGATAGATATAGGTAAAACCAACGTAGAACATTGCACAGAAGTGCACTGGTCCAAGCTATGCAAGGAACAATTGAGTAGAAAAAGAGTGATATCAAAGTAGACGAAAGTATATTGAAGAACGGATTTTAAAATCAAAAGTTTATGTGATATGCGTTCAAATCATTAAGGGATCAGTTTTTAAAGTGCCATGTAAAGCATTGGCCCCTATCATACTTTGCAGGCTTTTAAAAACTGTGAAAACTTGATTCGCAAATAGCATCCTTGTTTTTGTTTAGGTCATGCATGCATTGATCATGTACTCACTTTCCGTCAGTCGCTCAACCCGAACCAAGTGACTTAAAGGAAAATAACTCCCACGCTTTTTTATATTAAGAATGCATCCTGTCCCCTGAAGTAATTTTTCAAATTGCTGGATTCCCTGAAGAGTCAGTTAACGTTTTGAGAACAAAATACAGAAACGTCTTGGATAGAGTTAAGGCATACAATGACCTTCATTATTGAAAACCAACAGCGGCGTTAGGCAGGTTCGATTAATTTTGCCATCCAACTTTAACTCTCCCTTCGACGGGATTGTTAATGTTGATAGTGGGGGTGTAGCTCTACTACCAATTAAAAAAAGCTTATTTTGGGTATGCAGGCAATATACTCGCATTCTATTTTACTGTTTATTAAAATTGTCACTCAGTATTATCAACTGGATAGTGTTTTGGACACGATTTACTGTCCACATTCGTGTCAGACCGGATATGAATATGGAATATATTTGAAATTGTGAAATAAACTTTTCCGATACAACACTAACAATTGAATCATGGATTCCGGTTCAATCCATATATCCCAACCATGACAGCAAAATGCCATTGCAACCCTTATGAAATTGAGGTACCTACTTGAAAAGTTGTGAAAGCAGAGTTGGCGAATGTAGATGGAAAGATAAACGGTAAAACACGTAGTCGCTTCAAAAACTGAAATAACTTCAATGTTTTAGTCTTATCACAAGTTGAAACTTCGTCTTACCTACTGAGGCCTGAACAGCTATGCAGTATCACTTTCTCTTACTCAATGGAATAACTGAATATTATTATACCAATGACTGCATTATCGCATCAGGTTTCGTTATTCAAATGGAAAAGATAGTTTATCACAGAATAAATATATCTAATTGGTCATTTCAGTAGTTATTGAGGAACTTATTAGAGTCACGCACCCAACAGGTATGATTCAATCTAGTAAGCGAAAATGCGAATGGTTGCTTAACTACTTGTTATATATCATATGATTATAGTTCAAGTACTTAACTATCGAAATCATGCCCTTAATTTAAACTGTTGTAGGTGTCTGGATAATATTTTCAGTCAGTCATCTTCATGTTTGGTTAACCACTAAATACACATGGTTATCTTTCATTGCCGAGGTAAATTAATCCTCCAACCAGTTTTGTTTTCGAATTCTCAGAGGAACACTGTTCTGCTTAAAAGCCGGGTGCTCTTCCATTCCAATTGTTCACTAGAATACTTTGTGTTACATCTCTATAATGCTTTCGGTGAAAATCAGAACTTATTATTAAATGTTTGTTTTTACTAAGAAATCATCTATTCGAGTATGTAACTTACAAACCCCTTTTTAGTCGACATTCCATATAGTAACAATATCACTGCAGTACTGAAATCGAAAAGCATGTGAAAATATGCTTGAATATCCAATTTGTTGTTGTAGCATGACAATTTCAAACGTTTATAAGTTTTATGGATCATGGTACCGAGCAGCAGCACCTTTGTAAATCGAATTTGTTAATACTTTATGTCTCATTCAATGAACATTCTCAAATTCGGATTTGCAAATGAGTTTAAATGTACTCTTGTCTGAAACTCACTAATACTTATGAATGTAGTTACGTCACTCAATAAACAGTAAAAAAACATTTTCAAATCAGTTATCTTTTATGAAAACCATATTATTCACAGATGAACTTACAAGTCAGCCATTTGTTGCTGTCACCGAAAGTTTTTTTTTTCACCAAGGAAACTGATATTTTCTGATTATATGTTATTTTACTGTGATCTATCTTACCATATTCTTCCCATATTTTAGGTCTACACCCTGGTTCAGATTTTCTCAGCTCAGTTGTTTCATTCCTTGCAATGACTACTCCAATAACGTCGTGTATTAATGAACCAGAGTTTGCAGATGTCTATCCACCGTCAGAGGATTCCTACTTATTTTTAGACGCTTTGGAATCAGATGGTGCATTTTTGTCTAAATTGAGTCCGGGTGTAACTCTTGAAGTTGGAAGTGGTAGTGGAGTTATTAGTGCATTTCTATGCTCATGCATTTCGAAACCGCTGTTTCACATATGCACTGATATATCACCTGCTGTATGCAACTGCTTAATTCTTTTGTTTTATGCTTTAGGCATGTCGTGCTTCTTTACGTGTGCTCAACTTGAATGTACCTAATTCCTCAGTGGCATATGATGTAATTAACTGTTCTTTAGCAACTTCCCTCTTACCTAGACTACATGGAAAAGTTGATTTAATAATGTTTAATCCTCCTTATGTGCCAACGTCTTTCGAAGAACACCAATCTGCTGGTTCTACTTTAGTCGCCTCATGGTCCGGTGGTTTATTAGGACGACAAGTAAGGCTACATAGTAATAAATATTTAGCGATTGTTGATTGCTGAATTAGTGACTGCACAGTCAGTTGCGAAAGTGTAACCTTTTAATCTATTCAAAAAACAATGTTTTATTTCATTTCCTGGTTTTGATATTTAAGTTACCCTTAGAGAAGTAGAAATCTCTTCGTCCAATGTTCAAAGTTTCATCTGGTTTATGCACTAAAGCAGCTCCACTTAGACATAAACTCTCTACCACTTTCTTCACCTATTTGATTATTATATGTGCATTAATACAGAGAAACTTCATATGGTATGAGTGTAATCTCATAGGTTTCAAATATTTACATTATTGCCAGTATGCGGCAGGCTTATACTGCTTAATGTACCAAACAGCAAAGCAAACGAATAGCAAAAGTGAGAAAGATTGGAAGACTTCTAGTTATTACCTATGGAGCCACTGAATGTCGCATCATTCCTCCTTATTTTGCCATAGCATATTTATAGATTCCTTTTTAATCTGGATAAATGCTAACTATGTAGTTCGATTTGAGTCTGGGTACTTGAGATATGCAAGAGAGACTTGGTCTTTCTAACTAGGTCATCAAACCAAGCGATATGTTTATTTTTCCCCAATTCATTCTGTGTTTCTAACCCAATTTTAGGTGATTGACCAGTTTTTGGACCAGACTGTCGACCTACTTTCTTCACAGGGGTGTATTTACTTGTTGTTATCGGAGGACAATCGTCCTGATGAAGTACATCGTATAATGATGAAACTGTCAAATGGTAAACTTAAAGCAAAGCCAATATTGCGTAGACGGTCGCAAAATGAATTTTTAACTGTTTTCCGGTACAACTTTTGAAGTTTGTGTACATATAAAATATATTACTGCTCACCTAGTCATATTCTGTAACTTTTCACGTGGTGAGATGTATGTAATTCAGTAAGATGGTATCAGTTATTTTTTTTATGAGTTGCTTCACTTATTCGGGGTCAGATGGTCGAAAATGTTACCAACAATGAGGAAAACTTGGGGTATCCTTACGCTTATCAAAGCATTTTGTGCACATAAAGAACATGAAAGAAAAACGTTGATAACTAGGTTTGTGAGTAAGCTTTATAATCAGTGCTAGGATGAAGCCTGAGTGATTTTTTTCATAATATGGTTCACTAGTAAGCTTCCATGATTTGTTTAGTAGTCAAACAACTAGTAGCAGCGTAGACACTTCTCGAAACCTGTTTTCTTCTCCAAACGATCCGGTATACTACTGAAGAAGAAACTGAAATGAATTTACTGGCAAATCGATTGGTGATGAACGTAGGTAAGAACTACGGTTATTTGTTGATTTTCATGAAATCAGCTCAAGAGTAAACCATGGAGTACTGTTTCGTGGAGGGAGTCGAATCTAGAATTCCATATCGGACTTTACAATTTTGAAATGGAGATTAAAATGCGATTTCTAATAATAGTTGTCGACTGAATTTACGGAAAATAATATTTTCCCCCTAAACTTTCTTGATGAAGGTTTCACTGTTGTTTTCCATGTGCGTGCCGCAAAAGCACCTAGCTGATGATTGTTGGAAACATGAAACGTAAGTGTAGGACTTCCTTACAATTACCTGCAGCCAACCAAAATCATATTGTCGAAGTTTTTTGCTAATGAATACTTCAACAGAAATATTACATGGATTGTAATGTATGAGAAGTTTGTCTCAATTTCTAAATTATTCTTAGGACCTTCAAAGGAAGGTGAAGTCAACCAGACTAAGTTTTTATTAACCATCCGAGTGGGTTCGGTATTTTAGATACTACCAAAATAGTTATTTTTCAGAATACGATATCATGAACAAAAGTTTACCATATAATTTTTAGTTAACGTTCTCATAGACCTCATAACAATGATATACGAAGTATTGTGCAAGTGAAGTCCTGGAATGCAACTCACTAAGCTGCCTTCTTTATTACCACGATAAACCCAACAGTCGAGATATCTGCATGGTGAGCATACTCGATAAACTACTGTATATGCTAGCACACTATGTTGCATTCAAATTACTTCCTAAATCGAATAAAATGGAACGATGGCGTTCAGTGTTGCAATACAGCTAGAAAGTGCTATGTGGGAATCAATGCATTACAATTTAACGTTTAGGAAATTTAATCTTCAGTATTTTGTAATACACACTTTACATATTTAATTTTGTAAAGTGGATAGCTTCTCCTGGGAAGTTCTTAGAAATACTTCTTTTACACTAATAACTTGTACAGTTTTGTGAAGTATTCGATCCAGGTGGTTTGCTTTGATTTTGCTCCGTAGATGTTTTACACATCTACATAGTTGTGAGATTCATATTCGCCGTCTTACAATTGTTTTTGCTTGTATCCGGCTAAATCCAGTTTATCAATGGTCTTGTGTTACCAACATGAAAATTTCCCCTCGTCAATAAATGAAGGAGGACAGCTGGCCATTGAATTTTGCTCTATTTAGTTTTTTCAGAATTCACAATGAAGGATTAACGGGACTGTATACGGTTAGTTCCATTTTAACTGATTTATTAGAAGTTCCACACACTGAAATAGTTTTACTGACTACATTGGACTTTGGGCACAAATTATTGTCCACAGTCATTTAAAGTTAACTCAAAGTTGTGTTATGACGTCCGTAAAAAGAAAAATGGAATCTCAAATAAGGATGATTAGCCGTATTATCATTATTTTAAAGTAAATTCTACTTGCCATTTTACTTGCCACTACTCTATGATGGGGGTCCGAGGGTAAAATTGAACTGCTAACTGGAAGGCGATGTAACAGCAGTAACGTGTTTTCAACAGATGACCAGCAGTGCCAAGTGAATGCTTCCTTGCCAATTTGAAGGGGGTTAGAAAAGGTCGACCCTAGAAATAACACTCTCCTCTTTACTCCTTGACCGACCAATACAATCGAAATGGGTTCTTAGTCACATTCACAAAAGCAAGCTAAAATATCAAACTCTTAGAAAGGCTGTGTGTGGCCGGCCTGAAGTAGATGTCATCTGGGCTCTGTGGTTACACAAACCCTTCTTTTTCAGTTACCTCAAACAGAACTAAACTTCGACAGTTTAAGTAACCTCGAAGTGTTGGCCGCCTGCATGCTTCCAGTGGCATACAAAACCCATTAAAGCGCAACCTATCGTCTTTGCCTCTGTCTCCTCCCTTGCCTTCACTTTCTGATACTAATATTAAGCCTCTTACAACTCCCTCAACCTCTTACCCTGCCTCCATTGTCAACGACTCAATCCAGCAGAACTCCATTCCTGATCTGAAATCCCGCTGTCAGTTTCATATTACAGCTTCCAACTTCCGAACTGTATGTCAAGTCAAAATACAGATTTTTCATGCTAAAACTGTGGAATCTCAAACCATGGACATATGCTGTGTTTGTGAGACACGCACATAGGACCTAAGTACGTCTATTCGATTGATTTCAGCTAACCAATGTGGTGAACCTCCAAAAGTCACTTTACGGGTGTCCGGAGATTCAGTGGCTAGCTCTCGTGAACATTAATTTACAGAGCAGAAAGCACATTTCCCAATTGGATTCCAGTCGACAGCTGTCTGTGCTCTGTTCGACTCAACGCGTTTGTAAAAACTAAGAAGGATTGGGAAACTGGCTGATGCCTATTCGCAATCCCCGCCTCCGTACATACCCACCAGAGTTCGGATGATACAAAGAATGAACTCTATGAGAGGCTGTCAATTTTGCTACGGCAAGGAAGACGCTCAGATACAGTCAAAATAAAATGTATTTTCAACTCTGAAATAGGAAAGCTGAGCCAGTTGGAAAGGCATGTTGGAAGTATCTACAAAATCCGATGCCAACGACTGACAACAGTGACCGTCTATTTCGATTCCCCTATGACAGCCACTGGTTTCTGGTCAGCACTAACTTCAAGTATAACTGGAGGCACTCTCACGCTGAGTTTGCCGATATCAAACTAATGATGGATACACAGCTGTTTCTAAAGTACCTGTTTGGACTCTGATCACGCGTGAGAAGGATACTAGTATGTCTACACCTTACTGGTTACAGGAAGAAGGTGGCAATTAAGCCTATGCATGCTCATTTGGAAGGTGGAAACGGGAAGTATATAGTTAGTGAGGAAATAGCGAAGAATTTATGCGAAAGTGGCAAAAAATATCCATTCTGAGAAGCCTGATGTGATGCTGAGTCTACTGTAGAAATAGTAGCTCACACCTGAAGGTGTTATTATTGGCATTTAAGTTTCTGTGTATTTCACCAAAGTGAAACACTGCCTTTGTTATTTACTCAATCAGCAGGAATAAGGTACTACAAACGGTTTATTTTTCACATTGATCTAGTCGAATCAATACTTCTCTCCACTGTTCTCCCATTTTGTACCTGCATCTTCATTGTTCAATATGCTTGCTTTCAATTTCATGCTACTTGCTATTAGTAAGTAGTGTTATTTTAATTTATATTATTTTGCTAATTCCCAACCCAATGTTGACGATTAAAAATTAGAACTCGTTTTTATCATAGTTTACTGATTCATGCTGTTATCCTTCGACTGTACTGCTCCTTTCGCTTGCTTTATAACTTCTTGTTGTTTATTCTACACTTCCATGTATTTCATTGTGTACCAAACTTTGGTTTACCGCATGATACAGATACGAGCTGTTTATCTATTCTCAAAACGAATTTTTATTATGTTTATCACCAGAATTACTCATCTTCGTTGACTGTGAGTTCGATGATGCGACAAAAATCTAGCCTAGCTGAGACTCAAAGTTTGTGACTTCTAATAAATTTGTATTGTTGATTTGCATTATGGCGGTATATTTTTGGAAAGCCTCGTGTTTTGTTTTCCGCATTTTGTATCTCATTCAAGCATTGGGTTTCAATTCTTTCTTATGAAATCTGAAATATACTAAAAGTCGAAATGAAAATAGAAAGACATGCTGTTGATGATTTGTATATACAAAAATATTTCGTCATCTCAACACTTAACCGCTGAATTGCAGGTGAAATTACTTCCGATGAATTGCATTTCAATTATGACCACTTAAAAATCAGAAACAGGCCGTCACTTAAAAGCATGTAAGCTTTTCCCTTCCTTAGTTAGGAACTAATCTAAAAACAAATTTTTTCCAACTGACGGTACTGAAAATTGTTGTAATGCGTCTGTCAATGAGTGTAGCGTCTGATTTGTCAAGGCGATTTTCGAGTTTCAGGGTTTAATACTTCTGTCTGACTTACCAATGCATCTATTTTTGAAAGAGTCAGGCATTTTGACAGGAATATAAAAGTGATTGTCATCATACCCAACACGCATGAGTAGAGAATAATTTTTGTGATGTTTTACACTATCCAACACTTTTAAGGGGAGAAAGTGTCAGTAGAAGCTAACACCTTGAGAATGGGGACGCTTCCGATCTTAGTCTCAAGCATGACCAGTTCATAGCTCTTATTCTCATATCCGGTCGCCTTGTTACATGGAATTCTGAGCAAACTGTTAAATCGACTGGAACAAGATCCTAAGTTGATGCTAAATGATACTGAGAATGAATATCAACTGCCAGCGAACTTATGGAACAGAACTTAAAGTCCAATCTGGATATGAGGGTGTTCTTGAAGTGCACGCATTACATCAGCTTACAAGACACGTGTCATTTGGCTCTGACTCACTGAGATCTAGTGCATTTGCTAATCATTTGCATCGTAGTTCTAGTCATCGGAGTACCTCGAAAAAGTTTCCTGCATCACCATTGTGAAGCATGGCATTCCATAAGATTCTGTTAATACACACATCTTTGAAGATAGCGTAATACCATTGGCCTCACTGATGGGTACTATCATTTTCATCAACTCGGTAGTTGTAGTCTTGGATCCTGACTAGAATTCACAGTAAAACTCAGCTTCAAATGAATGGTGGAGTCGATAAGTCTGTTAGCCACAAATCGAGTTA